GTACAGTATATAAAAAATTTTAAGGATATTAATACCAATGATATATACAGTATATAATATACGGTAAATCTCTATAAAGATAGTCTTCAATATCAATATATTTTTACATAAAAATATATTCACAAAACAAAGAAATCATTATTTTCGCAAAAATATAAGTATTTCTCAAAATACATATTCTTTCTATCGATACTAAAGAATATATAAACTAAATATTTTTTGTAGACAACAATTTGCGAAATCAAAACCTCTGACATTTCCTAATAAATCACAATACAGTCTACTTCTCGGTAATAAATATTCTAAATACAGTAATAGAGACAAACATAAAATTTCAATATAACTTCCAATATAGTAAAATATATTGATATCGTTAGTCTCATATAAATACACTTTATATTATACAGTAAAAGTGCGATAATAAAAGCGTCAACAGAATCTGTATAATCAAAATTAAATAATTTATTCGTACACTTTATATGAAATACAAACAGTTTATTAAACAAATAAATCACTGCTAATAAAAGTGATTATAAAAACAACAAATGAAATAATATTATTCACTATCGGATGAAGAATAGGCGCATAAATTTAGTAAATTATTTACATTATTATTATTACTCGTAATACTCGTCGTATTACTGGTCTTTTGGGCCAATTTAGCGTCCGATACGTTATCATCGCTTTTAGGCTTCTTCTTAACGACCACTAGTTTCCCGATCTTTCGTTTTAACGACTCTTTCGACGCCGAGTTCTCTGCGGCCGACTCTTTGGCCGACAAATTATTCCCATTATTACTACTATTGTTACCATTTTTAGTGAACTCCTTATCAATCGTATCAAAAGTGACACCAAATTTGGGCAAAACCTCGTCATCGGAGGACTCTTCGTCGTCCTTCCCATTCAATTGGGCCAACAGTTCCTTCTCTTCGGCGGCCATTTCGGTGTCCAACAGGCGCTCCATCACGTCGTGCGGAATAAACACCTGGTGCTGAGCGCTGGTGGCGGCCAACACGGCGTCCACAGCGGTCTCGTGAACCAACGCGCGGTTGCGTTGATTGAGTTCCTTGAGGTCCTCGAGAGCCTCGATATTCTCCAACTCTCTGCGGGACTGTTTGGTGCGATTCTCCAACAGTTTCATGGGATTCAACTTCTCGTCCTCCTCCCTGTCCTTCTCCTCCTGAACGGCCTGTTGTTCTGCGAGTTTGAGCGCTTTGAAGCAGGGGGTGGCCCCGTGTTCCACCTCGTAGTCCATGTTGCGCGGATCAGTCTTGAACGTGATCTCCGCCATACAACGCGGGCACTTGAAGTAGAAGCGAAACACCTTAAGCCCCAAATACGTCTCCTCCTCCACCGTCTCCTTCCGGGCGTTGAACTTCTTGCCCTTCGCGATGTAGTCGCCACACGTGTCGCACCGCATATTGCACGGCGCCATCAGTCGGACGGTGTACTGACGCGTCTTCGCCAGCCGTAGGCGCGGGATCTTTGACGGGTCGAAGTCCGGCGGATAGTATTTCTGCGAACGAAAGTCATGGTTAGTATGTTATCAATGCTTGTGTGCAAAACACATGTGCAATATATTGTTTCATGTATTGTTTATAACACTATTAGTGTACACTCTGTATAGTGAAGTATACTGTAGGGCCAAATTGGGGGGGG